GAAGGCGCATCGCAGCGTAACAGTGTTTCGTGGGATATCGCGAAGCCTGTTTCGCGAGACGTGGTCTGGCGTGCATACCTAGTTACACTAATTGTCCTTTAGACATTTAGAATGCAGAACGCGTCGCAGTTTTCGATAGAATTAAATGTTTGACTCCGACTCAGTTCGCGGCCCGGCCCGGCACCCTCATCTGCCCACACGGAGCTGCCCTGCGCCGCCCTGTGAGACCCCCCGCCGCGCACCTCCCCGCGTCTGCATTTCCTTCCCCCTCGTTAGCCCCTCCACCGCACAGCCCCACACACCGCTGGACGCATATCACGGATCTAACTCCACTCCAGACCCTTCCTGCTGCACCATCAACTTCTCCTCAGCTCCGTTTACTCACCGTCACAAACACACTGGTTAACACAAAATTCCGCTAATGAGTTAACAACAATAGCGAAAGATTTATCGATTTCCAAATAACTTCGCGTGTATTCCATTGTGAAACTATTGGTGGGGCGGTGAGGGTGTGAATCGTGAGTCCTCCGATCCCACCTCAGATTTTGAGGAATCTTCTCAAAAAATGAGGGAAAATTCCACATTTATTGAGGAGACCTATTCGAAATCTGAGGAGTTTTCGCGGGGGGTCCCCAACTGTGGTCTACCGGTGGTCACATGATGTAGGCTTCCCGGTTTTCCTTAATTTTCCTTGGGTATCCCTGGTCATCTAGAGTTTTTCTTGGTTTTCTTACATTTTATTTGGTCTTCCTGAGTTTTCTTTGGTTTTCTTAAGGAATTTCAAGGCTTCATGAGGTTTTCTTCGATTTTCTCTTGGTTTTCCTGGGTATTCTCTTGGTCTTCCTTGATATTATCTTTGTCTTCCTTGGTCTTCCTGGCTTTCAATTGCCAATTTTCTCCTGGTCTTCCTACAACTTTTCTCGTCTTCCTAGAATTTTTTTGGTCTTCCGATGAATTTCTCAATCTTCCCCTGATTAATGCGGTCTTCCCGGATATTTTTCGGTCTTCCGAACTCGCTGCCGCTTTTGGGTTCGTGCTGTCCCTTCGTGCTCCCCTGATCCCAACCCCTTTCACTTTCTTCATACAGAGAAAACGACGTCAAGGTTAACAAGCAACCAAGCAACCGCTCATGCGAAAAACATACACGTGACTGTTAACAAAGCTGTGCTTTTTGTAGTACGAAGAAAATCCATTTGTAATATGGTGGTTCTACAATGTAAAAAATATCGTGGGCAGGTCCGTATCGTATTTTCAGCGTGCGGTCAGGCCGTAACAGCATGAACTGCACTTTCTTGTTTGGGCTATGAGCTGCATTCGACTCCCCCAACATTTTTTTCAAGTTACGGTCTGGTCTGTATGACACGGACCGCGACCAAAAATTACGGTGCCGGACCAGGCAACAAATTTACAGCGCAGACCGTAGACCTCTTACCATGTGTTTCTCTAACAGTGTGGGTCCTTTGTACGTTACAAACCCAATCATTCGAAATATGAAGACTGGTATTTGGAAGAAACTGAGAGAAAAAAGCCTTTTTTTTTTTCAAAATTGCTTGAAAACCTGAAAGGAGAATTCTTAATGCCGTCTCCGCACTATGTACTGTCCACTGTATCTTTTGTAGGCGGAAATCAAACAGAGGTCACAACAGTCATAGGAACACAGGAAGTGAGACCAGTGTAGGTTAAGGATGAGGAAAGGAAGCAGAGCAGGGGGTGGGGGTGGCGTGAGGTAGTGAGGAGGGGAGAGGGTGGAGCGTGGAAATGAAAACCAACGCAGCAGCAATGCGTGGGGAAGGGGGGCGGAAATCACTATTCGTTTGTTCGTTATGCAGCAACAAAAGCAGCACAACTAACCACCTCATTTCCTCCCCATTTACTGGGCTTGTTTCGCGCCGTATGGTGTGGCAGCGGTGAGCTGAGAGCCTACCGCAGACAGAAATGAAAGAGGGGCAGAGGCAGGGAGGATGTGAAAGTGAGAAAAAAAGAAAGAATCAAGCCCAGCATCGCCATTAACCTTGGGGGGAGAGAAGGAAGATAGGAGTATAATCTGACACAGAATTCAGTCCATCAGCTGAGAGTAATTTATGGTAACCTTACTACAGCGGCCCTCTGGCTGGCCGTGACTTTCATCTGCGATGGAGGGAAAGGAGAAAACAGGACCACCCACCTTTCTGACTTTGGGCAACGTTTCCCTTGTTCCGACTCAGCTAGTTTCCTTATTATTAAAATCTCCCTCGTCTTCCTTATTACTTCAAAGTGCCCCGGGAGATAGACCTCTCGTCTAGGGTTCGAAGCGCTGCCGCCCGTTGCCGTCGGAATGTCAACAAAGTGTCGAGCGAATGCAGACGACTAGGATGCTCGGCACCGATTGATCCCCTCCCCCTCTTATGTCTTGTTTGCGAGGCGAGAAACGAGGGAAGCGAGTCCGTCGACAGAAACTGCCCTCTTGCAAATACAAACAGATTAACTTTAACATACTTGGGATAGGTGGTAAAATATACGGACGTACGGGACGGGACGTACTGAAGTTTACACTGTAAAGTGGATAATGACACTTGTCCATTGTCCATTACTAGATGGTGACGCCACGCCCATTTTTTTTTGTCGAATATCATCTAAGGAACCGTACCACGTACAAGGCTCGTTTGCAATCGGAAATATTATGGAAAGTATAGGAGATTGAAGGTCAAGTTACTTACCCATCAAGAGGCTCATCGTTGGGTGAAGTGCCAGAGCGCTGCAAAACATCATTGCGCTGGGTCTTCAAGAATCGGAAACTCGGCACACAAACACCACGCGGCAACTCTCGTCTCGTACTCAAAATATTTCTGAAACAAATTAAAACAAAAATTGTTGAAAGAAACTTTCCCCAAACATACTGTATCTGCTAGTTCTCTGACAAGGATGCGGTAACATCAACATCTGATTTTTAGAGGTAACGGAGAAACTTTGAAAAGTCCTGCGCCAGTTGGCTGAACGATTAGCGGAGCCTATTACTCCAATGATGTTCAAAAAGTTTCGCGTCCGTCTGTATGTTTGTTTGTTTGTTATCACGGTAACTCAAGAATGGTTTGAGCTAGGATGATCAGATTTTTACTGTAACTTTGTGTCGTAAAAAGCAAGAACTCTATTGATTTTGAGCCCTCTACTTCAAAAATTAACCTATCAAAAAAGTCACAAACGAAAAGCACAGAAAGATTTTTGCGATTTTTTTTTTTTTATGTCATTCTTAGAGGTAACTTGTGTAGGTAAAGCCCCAGGGGTAAAATTTTGTCCGTTTGTTGTGGTAACTCGTCAAAATAAAACCCCATTGACTAAGATTTGTTACTTTTGAGGAAGGCGTCTTAACGACTCTGCCCGAGTCGGGTGTCAGCGCCGCAGGCTTAGGCTTAGGTAGGAGTATGCGAAGGCGCATCGCAGCGTAACAGTGTTTCGTGGGATATCGCGAAGCCTGTTTCGCGAGACGTGGTCTGGCGTGCATACCTAGTTACACTAATTGTTCTTTAGACATGCAGAACGCGTCGCAGTTTTCGATGGAATTAAATAAATGTTTGACTCGACTCAGTTCGCGGCCCGGCCCGGCACCCTCATCTGCCCACACGGAGCTGCCCTGCGCCGCCCTGTGAGAGCTGCTACCGCGTGATCAATGGAGGAGCAGTCGGTGATAACGCCCGTCTGAGGAAAACAAATGGCAAAGGTTAAAAGCAAGCGCGAGAGCAGCGCAACCTTCTCGGCCTGCCACCGCCGCCGCCTCCGAAACAGAAATCGCATTATTTCATTCCTCTGCGAATTAATTTGCGAGTGTTCTGCCCGAGTTTATACCGAGCCAAGGTCATTTCAACTCAGGAGCAGCAGAAGCAGCAGCAGCAAAGCCTCTAAAGCAGGTAACAGAGACGTTCCTACAGTTTTTTCCATTCATTTTCCTGACTTACCCAGTCAGTCCATCTCTCTCTCTTCCCCCCCCCCCTCTCTCTCTCTCTAATGCCAATTATATCACCCGAGTTAATCTAGCTAATCCGTCCAGGCTCAGCAGCAGCGCTGCGTCCCCTGTCTGACCCACGGCCCACGGCTTGGCTTGGGCCTGACCCTCGGTCCGACCTGACCCCGCCCGCGAGGACCTCGGCCGCTGACGGCCCGCTCCGCCTGGCCCGTCCGTCCAGTCCAGTCCCTTGCTTTCTTACATTCAATTATCCTATTGCGAAGGAGCAGGCGACAAGTCCTTGACATTTGATTGAGACGCGTGGGTGTTGTACAACGCCTAAGCAAATGGACCTTTTGCCGCGGACCTACCTGCCTGCCGGCGTGGGCGGCGCACCCAGAAAATCGTTCCCTTGAAAAACCGTAACGAAATTTCTCTCTTGGTTCATAGAAATTTCCTTCCTCACGAAAGAAAATCCTTGAAATGAAGATTTTTCGTCAATTTAAGGCAATTTTTCCGTTTTAAAAAGGTAACGAATTGGTTGTCTTTATTGCAGGTCAATTCGTTGATTTGGGGCTAATATTAAGGATACTTCCTTGTTTCAATGAAACAATTTTGTTGGTGAGAGTAAGTACTAGTTCCGGTTTCCAGAGTAGGACATTTTATTATGTGTTGGTGGCTTCGGCAGCGCAAATATTGTTGGGAAACTAAATAGCTAGCAGAAGCAAGACCACAAAAGTTTCGAAGGCGCATAGCAGTAAATTTATTGCTCGCTTACTATGGGAGCGCATTATCCACAGGATAATTTGTTTTTGGCCGGAATCCATAGTATTAGCAATGAATTAGCAGACCGAAACAAATTTCGGCGCGGGCCTCCCTGTCCCGTCCCGTGTGCGAGGCGGCGGCGGCGGCGGGGAGGAGGCGCCACGCGGCCCCACGCCATCGGGCGGGAGTGTCGTGTCCCGGGTAAATAATTAAATCTGCTGGCCCACTTTCTACAGGGGTCCCGGGGACGAAGAGAAGAGGGCGGGGAAGAAGAAGAAGAAGAAGAAGAAGAAGAAGAAGAAGAAGAAGAAGAAGAACCACCGAGCGCTGCGACCGCAGATGACACGGTGCCGGAGTGTCAATATATTCCAGCAGCGTCGGAACAATCATCATCTCAAATTCACAAGGACGGTCGTCCTGCTCGTGCCGCGCTGAGGCCAAAACTAATCGCAGGGGAAGGAGGAGGGTTCTCCTGCCAAGGACTGCGACTTATATACATGGCAGCCAGGATGGCGATGAGGGGGACGATTAAGCTCATTCAGAAATATGGCAAGCTGAAGCAGCCAACCATCAAATGACTACCTCAGGCAAGTATGACGATGGCAACAATAACCACTTGTAAAGAATGTCGAAACATCGACAGTCAACTTGACAATCAAGTTGACTGTTAAATTGCTGTTAAATTGTGAAGAACTGCACTCAACCATGCGGTTCACAACAAAGAAAACCAGCTTTGTGCAAACCCGGAAAACGGTTCGGTTGATTCAATGAAAAGAAAATACAATGAAATTTTTCTCTTGACTCAATGGAATTTCATTGTTTCAAGGAGGAATTCCCACAGGATAGTGGACAGTAATACAAAGGAACAATTTTCTGTGTGCAGTCCTTCTCACCACAAACCCCATTGTAGCGGGACTCTTTAGCCCTTTCATGGACCTCAATAAATGCAATCAAATCAAACCCCGTAGGATGAAGAACAAAATATATTTTTTTAAATTATTTTTTACAGCAGAGAGGAGCGCAGCGACAACAAACGATAAGACGGCGGTGGCGAGCACCAGGACAAGTGTGACGAGGACGAGGAGGGTCGCGAGACGCGCTGCGGCTGGCGCTTACCCGCGAGGTAAAGGGGGACATGATGAGGCGCGGCGCGCTGGCAGCGGTGGCGCTCTCAGCCCCCCCCCCCCCCTCTCTCGCTCACCTCTCGCCCTTTCTCCTACCCTCTCCGACTACATTCCCCTTCGCATGGTCATTCTTAGAGGTAACTTGTGTAGGTAAAGCCCCAGGGGTAAAATTTTGTCCGTTTGTTGTGGTAACTCGTCAAAATAAAACCCCATTGACTAAGATTTGTTACTTTTGAGGAAGGCGTCTTAACGACTCTGCCCGAGTCGGGTGTCAGCGCCGCAGGCTTAGGCTTAGGTAGGAGTATGCGAAGGCGCATCGCAGCGTAACAGTGTTTCGTGGGATATCGCGAAGCCTGTTTCGCGAGACGTGGTCTGGCGTGCATACCTAGTTACACTAATTGTTCTTTAGACATGCAGAACGCGTCGCAGTTTTCGATAGAATTAAATGTTTGACTCCGACTCAGTTCGCGGCCCGGCCCGGCACCCTCATCTGCCCACACGGAGCTGCCCTGCGCCGCCCTGTGAGAGCTGCTACCGCGTGATCAATGGAGGAGCAGTCGGTGATAACGCCCGTCTGAGGAAAACAAATGGCAAAGGTTAAAAGCAAGCGCGAGAGCAGCGCAACCTTCTCGGCCTGCCACCGCCGCCGCCTCCGAAACAGAAATCGCATTATTTCATTCCTCTGCGAATTAATTTGCGAGTGTTCTGCCCGAGTTTATACCGAGCCAAGGTCATTTCAACTCAGGAGCAGCAGAAGCAGCAGCAGCAAAGCCTCTAAAGCAGGTAACAGAGACGTTCCTACAGTTTTTTCCATTCATTTTCCTGACTTACCCAGTCAGTCCATCTCTCTCTCTTCCCCCCCCCCCCTCTCTCTCTCTCTAATGCCAATTATATCACCCGAGTTAATCTAGCTAATCCGTCCAGGCTCAGCAGCAGCGCTGCGTCCCCTGTCTGACCCACGGCCCACGGCTTGGCTTGGGCCTGACCCTCGGTCCGACCTGACCCCGCCCGCGAGGACCTCGGCCGCTGACGGCCCGCTCCGCCTGGCCCGTCCGTCCAGTCCAGTCCCTTGCTTTCTTACATTCAATTATCCTATTGCGAAGGAGCAGGCGACAAGTCCTTGACATTTGATTGAGACGCGTGGGTGTTGTACAACGCCTAAGCAAATGGACCTTTTGCCGCGGACCTACCTGCCTGGCGGCGTGGGCGGCGCACCCAGAAAATCGTTCCCTTGAAAAACCGTAACGAAATTTCTCTCTTGGTTCATAGAAATTTCCTTCCTCACGAAAGAAAATCCTTGAAATGAAGATTTTTCGTCAATTTAAGGCAATTTTTCCGTTTTAAAAAGGTAACGAATTGGTTGTCTTTATTGCAGGTCAATTCGTTGATTTGGGGCTAATATTAAGGATACTTCCTTGTTTCAATGAAACAATTTTGTTGGTGAGAGTAAGTACTAGTTCCGGTTTCCAGAGTAGGACATTTTATTATGTGTTGGTGGCTTCGGCAGCGCAAATATTGTTGGGAAACTAAATAGCTAGCAGAAGCAAGACCACAAAAGTTTCGAAGGCGCATAGCAGTAAATTTATTGCTCGCTTACTATGGGAGCGCATTATCCACAGGATAATTTGTTTTTGGCCGGAATCCATAGTATTAGCAATGAATTAGCAGACCGAAACAAATTTCGGCGCGGGCCTCCCTGTCCCGTCCCGTGTGCGAGGCGGCGGCGGCGGCGAGGAGGAGGCGCCACGCGGCGCCACGCCATCGGGCGGGAGTGTCGTGTCCCGGGTAAATAATTAAATCTGCTGGCCCACTTTCTACAGGGGTCCCGGGGACGAAGAGAAGAGGGCGGGGAAGAAGAAGAAGAAGAAGAAGAAGAAGAAGAAGAAGAAGAAGAAGAAGAACCACCGAGCGCTGCGACCGCAGATGACACGGTGCCGGAGTGTCAATATATTCCAGCAGCGTCGGAACAATCATCATCTCAAATTCACAAGGACGGTCGTCCTGCTCGTGCCGCGCTGAG